TAATATGTTTCTAGGAAATGAGTTGAATTACAAAGTTACATGTGAATTGTCTATCGCTCGTTGAGAACTTGGACACTGTAATAGGTCTGACATTTATAATTTATGTGTTTATTAAAGTTATTATTTATAAAAACTAGTTTAATTCTCTTTATGATAGATTTTCAACGAGGTTACTTGTGGACATGCACATAGGTCTAGGTATGATCAAGTCGCCTTGTGCGACCCTTTTAAACTTACTATAATAGGATAACAGATATCCTATCACGCATCATGTTTATAGACATCTACTTTGCAAATGAGGACCATCTTAATCGAGTCTTGCTTATCCCCTTGTAGGACACCAAGGTCTAGCCAATTATCCTCTTTATCTACTATACAGTTTACTCTAAATATACATGATCACCACTTTTCTTAGTGGCTCAATCACATATAAATTTCATGCTCTATATATAGCATACAATATCAATTTGCATAATATAAACAATTAACATATCAAAGCATCAACAAGTTTAAAACATTAAGCATAAAGCTTATAGCATAATTTTATCTTTCCATTCATATACAACTTATACTTAATCTTTTAAAGATTTCATTTGATCAAAACTATTAGTATTATGCCATATATCCCAAATGGGAAAAGTCCACAAGAGCTCACCTTATGCCATATATCCCAAATGGGAAAAGTCCACAAGAGCTCACCTTGTTAGTTAGTGAACTGTAACATCCCAAATATGCAGATAAAATTTTTGTATTTAAATTCATTTAAGACATATGATAATCATATCAAAACAATCAAAAGTGTATCATAGCAACATTTTATCAGAGTACAAATTCCCAAAATCATATAATGCGGAAAATCATAGGTGGATGAACTACGATCAGGTCGGGCCCTTCCCCATCGAGTTGGAAGTACCTGAAACATAAATTGAAAACCGTAAGCACAAAGCTTAGTGAGTTCCCCCAAAATACCATATATCATACAAACATACAGTCAAGCATATATGGGTGCTTGCAATCCCCTTCGGTCTATTTCATCCGAATACAGTCAAGCATATTTGGGTGCTTGCAATCCCCTTCGGTCTATTTCAACCAGATACAGTCAAGCATATATGGGTGCTTGCAATCCCCTTCGGTCTATTTCAATCGGATATCGGGTCTATTTCAGCCCCTGCCACTACCACATAATATAATAGCAAAAGAATCACAGAGTTATCAAGCAATTACAGGCATAACTGACAGTTGTCACGAGGACAATCATCATACTACAGCATAAACTAATGGGTCGGCATTGGTGCCTTCAACCCACAGATACAGCGAAGGAAACTCACCTTAGAGTGAAGGTATCAAATCACACTCAACGGTTGACTCGCAAAATCCTCTCCCTAAGTCACAAGTATAAAACCCTAATTAAAAATTAGGTCAATAATCTAACCCGAGAGTCCAAACCCTAATTCTTTACTTAAAAGCAAAAAGAGTTGCTTAACCCTTGCCTTATTGGGCCTACCCCACCAAGGCCCAAATCCAAACTAGTCCAAAAAGCCATTCCAAGCCCATGTACAAGGCCCTAAGGCCCAATATGGCCCAAGAGCTCCTAGACTGGCCTAAATCCCATAAATGTCCTGCTACTACAAGTAGGCCTGAGGCCCAAACCTATACAAGTAAAAAAGCCCAACAAAACTCGAGCCCAAAATCTCTTAAGCCCACACACACGTACATAGCTCGTACGCCCGGCGTATGCAGTCGATCAGAAATCGGGGCACTGGCCCAGTACGCGCAGCGTACCCAAGAGTACGCCCAGCGTACTGGTCAGTCAGCCCAAAGATACTCCAATGTCTTAACCCATTAAACTTTAACGTTTAAACTTAGATCTAAGCTCATAAAAGTGTCTTAAGCCATAAAGGTGCAAACTTTATGCTCTTGCATGCCTTAATGGGACTCAAACCATGAATTAAGCTTTCTATCTCTCTTAAGTGGTCACCAACTCATGCATGGTTGAGTCTTAACCTTCAAAATACAATTTTTATGACTTCATGCACCCCTAAGAGTCCAAAAGGACAACTCAAATGGTCTGGAGTAGCCCATACTCCAAAAGACCAAGTTATGGGACAAAAGATGCTAAGTTCTTCCCTAAAGCTAAATCTAAGCTTAGAATGAACAAGTTTCAGACTTTATACCTCCAATGAGATAGAAATGATGCATAAACTCTGGATCTACAAGCTTCTTCTTCTCCTTTGCTTCTCCTCAAGATTCATTCTTCTTCAAAATCACAAAAGAGCACCCAAAAACTCTTTGTAAGCTCAAAAATGGTCTCAAGATGGCTAGGGTTTCGAGATTAGCACTAAAAGGCAATGGGGGTTGAAAAGGTGATGAACTTGAAAGACTTAATGAGCTTAAATAGGGTGCAAACCCTAAAAATTAGGGTTTGCCCCTGGCTTGAGTACGCCCAACGTACGCAGGGATCACCCCGATGCGCGCTTGCAAGGAGTACGTCGTGCGTACCTAGTGTACGCCCGGCGTACTCATGGACCCTTCATGACTTTTAATTGAATAATGGCTTAATTTCATACCTAGGGACTCGGGCGTTACATGAAGACTAGTTATTACTTCTTGTCTTTCACTTGGTGTTTCTTGGTTAATGTTTCTTCAATCCATATTTAACAACATAATAAGCTCATAAGAATGTTTTTCGTCTAATAGAGCTTGATTTCATTCCAATCCTCATCAATCACATACTTTCCTTCGCCATTTAATGGATATAAGATGTTAAGCTTCATGGATAATCTATCCATATGACTTAATTCAATCATATATGTATTCAATTTCAAATGTCTAGTAATTTACCCAACTAGGGTTCATGATCATCATCTTCAATTTTAAGTAATTAACCATAGTTTTGACATATTATGTGTGTAAACATGATCATGATACTCAATACCTTACGATAATCATGATTTTCACTCTAAAAAAAAGGTTTAAAAACTAGGGTTTCATCACTCATGTTCAATTCTATTACCATTAAAACACTTCAAAGCTTACAATAAGTAGAGATTGCCTTTAATTCAAGCAACAGAAGCTTTGATTCTCATTTCTCTTAGAAACCCTTGGATAAAGTTTTAATTTCTCGGTCTGATGCTCTTAGAATTGCCTCTCTTTAGCTCCCAAATGGTGTATAGTTGAAATGAGGAAGTAATGATCGAATTAGCACATAATATACTCTATTTTCTGGACCTCAACTTGGTTACACGTGGCCCTGTCGAAAATACCCGATACCCGAATTACCCGTCCGATTTTTTCGAGTAACGGGTAAATCGGGTCGGGTAACTCGGGTATCGGGTAAATTTTTTCGGGTAATTGGGTAACCCGATTTTTTTTCAGGTCAGGTATAGGGTACGTTTGTTGGGTTTCGGGTATACCCGAATTACCCAAATTATTTTAAAAATTCCTTTTTTTGCGTAGAGTTTGTACTAGTTTTTATTGCAACTAACAAACTCATTATCTTGACGAAACTTCAGAACATGGAAAAACTTATGGCTACAATTATCTTAAACATTTTAAACTTTTAAATTAAGATCTTTAAGTATTTGTTTTTAACATCTTATTAGATTAGATTAAGTTGTTAAAAGATTATTTGATATCTCAAGTATTATTAACTAAAAAAAAATGATGTTCAAAGTTTGAGTAACTTCGTTTATGTCTCGTTTGTTTATATAAACAAAACTAATAGAGCACGACATATTTATTTCATTAAATTTATTTTCAGGTGTCATTCAAAAAAAAATTATATATTTCGGGTAATACCCGAATTACCCAAACCCGACCCACTACTCGAATTACCCAAACCCGAATTACCCGAATTTAATTTGGGTCGGGTAACGGGTATTTTTTTAACATGAAAAACCCGAATTACCCGAAATCCGAAAAAATTACTCGATCAACACCCCTAGTTACACGACCATGTTTTGAACCACAATTTGCATTTTGGTCAAAACATCCCAAAGTCTTGTAGTGTTCAACCCAGAAGCACGGACGTGATTCTCTCATTTTTCATATTTCAGCAATGTACTTTACCCTCAACATGACCATTCACTTCAAAGACCCATATAGTTTAAAAGAGAGGGAGGTAAAGAAAAAAAATGAGACAATGCACTTCAACAATGACTAGAGAAGGTCGGCGACAAATGGTTGTTGTGGTCACCAACACAAGGTTTAACCTAAAAGATCTGGTATCATGTTATTGAATATAATCGTTTGCATTTTACTAATATGATCATGGCTTAGACAGCCTTAAGTACAACTAATATCACAATAATCAAGGGATTGATTACAACTAATATCCCAATAATCAAGGGATGCGTCAACATAAATATTATGCTAATAATTTCTTTCGTACAGACTCAGACTTACATCAACTACAACTTTTCTTTAAAATACTTCTACTGAAAATTTCTACATTTTATTTAAACTTAAACGATTATTACAGCACACCCACATATAACATACGGCAATGCTATCCATAATTACAAGAATTTCCCTTCAAATGTGTTGTTTAAATGATACAGTATGTTATAGTTTTACGAGTTATGTAATGCTAAAACATCTTTCGAAATTGTTTATATTAATGTTGTTAAACAAAACCGCCAAATAAGACTCGAATCGAAACCGGAAAAGAAAACCCATAACCGAATCCAAAGATCGTCAGACCAATAGACCAAACCACAAGACAAAAAAGAAAAAAAGAAAGGTTTGAGACCAGACTACACGAGTCTCAACCAAGGTGTTTGGCTAAAGACCGTACGGGTCCAAGACGATTATGTTCCGGTCTACCAGTCGCACCTCCATAACCGGTCGAGACCATTTAATGAGCCTTTTTTTACCGGTTACAAACAAGGCCCACGTCACATCCCTATTTTAGAGAACAGCAATATACATTTTCACATGTTGGCAGCATATACCCTTTTATATCATGTATAAACTATAAACTATACATAAGATCAATAAAAAGCCCAAGAGAAAAAGGAAAGCAATTTAACATACGTACACGCGACACAAACAAAACCAATGTCAGATACATGAAAACCAAAATCACCTCACCTATCTATTGCAAAAATAAAATAAAAAACAGTTGATATAAAGGTTTTTTACACAAACCATTAATTCTCTTAGGTTCATCTCAACAAGAGAGAAAACTGTACAGTGGGGTGGCTATACAAGGAAAGAATATGACCCCTGTTATTTCTTGTGTGTTTGTTTGCTTGGTCAAAAACATCTTTATGCTCTCCTTGGTCCTTTACATTATCAAAGAGTTTTCAAGCTTTTTTTAAAAGTAGCCTCCTATGGTTGCATGAGTCTAACTTAACTTGGTCATGACACCCCGTTTGACTCAGAAGTAGGAGATTTAGTTGAGGAGTTAGGGTGTGGTGGTGGTGCAGTTAGGGAATAAGTAAGCCTTGATGACGATGCATGTTCGATTAGTCCAGCGATCCCAGCACTTGCTATTTGAGCATTTGAAGGAAGGAAAAGGTCATGCTTTTGGTCTTTATATGCTGCCCATACCTGCCACCAAATTTATAACACCGTCATGCCCATACCATACCATACCATACCATACATCACAGTATTTTGACTTACTTCAGAGGAATCTAGAATGTCGCGAACTTTAGTACAGTGTGCTCCTTCTGTTGCAAATGCATGCAAAACCTATACAGACCAATACAAATGTCAAAACTCAAAACACAAAATAAAAAATAAAAAAACAATTTCAAAACATTTCTTCTCTCTTTTTTTTATTCTAAATTAACATGAAATATTGAAAAAATAGATAGATAACCTCGATTGCAAGCACCCGACCAATGGATGCTTCGTTTTCGTTCCATTTCATTTGAGAACAAAGTCCATTTCGCCCTCCTGCTCTCCAGTCAAGAAGCCCAAGCAGTACTTCAATCAGCCCAACCCTTCAACATCATTATTTCACTTTATATTAGATTTTACAAAATATGCCAAATACAAAGAAAAAAACACCTATATCTATATTTTCATCATTTTATCAATTCAGCCAGCCACTTAACTATTTTCTATACTTTTTTCACCGTTATAAAAACATTTTTATATACTGATTGTTATCCATTTAGATTTTAGCCATCTTATTGTTTCCTTTTATTGATTTAGCTATTCAACTATTATTATAATAACTAATGAGGGTTAAGGTAAAAAAAATGAATTCCAATCAGTAATAAAGAAGAGTACAAAATGGTACATTAGTATTACTGACTGACTGCAAGGAGCTAAGGCATACATATAAGTAAAACGTATATGACATTGAAAAATAATACTTCAGTGGCTAAATCAATAAAATGGTGAAAGTACATGCTGTGCTTTTCTCTACTTTCCTTTTTTCTTGGTTTCTTTACACTAGAGAAAATAATAGTTAAGTCCCTAAAGCAAATCCAAAACGATGTCTTTATTCTTTTGTGTTTGTTTTTTTCATTTTATTTTTAGGGCTTAGAAGCTTAATAATGCGTTACACATGACATGATTACTGACCTAAGACCTTGTGCAACAAGTGCATCCCGTGCCCTATTTCCAGCAACCACCACACGCTTTAGTGTCTCAAGGGCTAGTATACTTCCACCTTGCCATCCAATAGCTTTCATTAACAATGGAACCACCTGTAATTTATTTAGACAAAAAAATGAAAAAGTAAGTAAGCCCGCCCTTCCTCCTAACATAGGTAAATAATGATGTGTTTCTTTTCTAGACTGTAAGAGATGAGCATAAAATAAAAATAAATAAAAAAGAGAGAAGGGAGACCTGAGTTGTCCCAACACTAGTAGCAGCCATGGCTTCTGCACATGTTGTGCTAGCAGCAAGTTGATGTAGCACACGCAAGCAGCTGAGGCGGACAAGTTCTTGAGGTGTTTGTGATGGATTCTCATCTGCCCTTGTTGATTCTTCTTCTGATGACATGGTCATCTCACGCCTTGCTTCAAAGGCTACTGCTGATAATAATTTGGGGACATAGCCAAGGTACCCCACATGATCCGCCAGTGCAGGGTGGACCCGCAGTAACGATACCAAAGCAGCAGATAAGAGCAGTGGGAGTTCTGGATCCGGCCCATGAATGTCATGATGTGTGGCTGCGATTGATGAAAGATATTGATCCAGTAGTCCTTCCAGGAATCTTTTCGGATTTCTCAGTGGGAATTTTGGGTCTTTCAAGAATAGCCTTACATAGATTCCTCCAACCTATTTAATAATTCCACATATCATCACCCTTCAGTTAGTACAAAATAAAATTAAATGAGAAATAGCAATGCACTAAAATACCTGAGGCTCATCTCTGAGTTCCTGTTGGGTAGAGGCTTGTTCAGGTACATCCCAATCAAAAACACGACCTTTCATCTGCTCTTGGTAAACATCGGATGCCATTGTTGCAACTTGTGCCGCCAAAGAAGCCGCCATGGCTGGTGTCCATACAAGCTCTGGAGTCTCAGTCGTCTGTTCAAGAGCACTTACCACAGCCTCACCAGGTCCATCCCTGATAACAGACACCAATCCATCTGGAAAAAACCTCGCCAGTGTAATCGCAACCCGAGGCCCATGCATCGGTTGCCCCACAAGCTTCCCCAATAAAGAAGCAGCCGCAGCCCTTTGAGGTAATGGCACCTCTTCTGCAAATAAATAGATAAATAAATAAAACTTTTTATAAACCCTAAGGGAACAGAAAGAACAGGAAGGAGAGTTACCGCGTAATGGGAGGAGAAGTTCTAGAATGTACACAACGCCGCCATGTTTGGCGGCGGCCCATGCGAGTTCCGGTGTGCTTGCTAGGGCGTAAAGAACATGGAGGGCCCCTTCGCGACAGCTGGCGGAGGAGTGAAGCATTTGCAGCAAAAGAAGGACACTAGACCCGTCTGCTACCATGGCTTCAAGGCATGGGGCGTGTGTCGTTAAGCGTGAAAGTACACTCAAACATAGTTGAGGAATTTTGCTTCCGGAAGGAACAGGAACCGAAAAGCATTCGAAAATAGGCAATAGCTTCTCTTTTGATGAAAATACAGACGCCAAATTAGGGTCGCTTGTTAACAAATTCTGTATTAAAAAAAAAAAAAAAAAAAAAAAAAAGCTAAGTACCCTACCCTTTCTAATTTAATACAACAAAAACATTCAAGTTTTTATCGAATAAAAACCTGGAGAGAAGTTAGCCCAAGCTGAAGGTTGCCAACCACACCCAAATCATCCTTGTTCACAGAATCATCTGTTGTTTTCTCTTCATCATGATTGGTTTCAAGCTCATGGGTTGACTCGGGCACATTGGCAATCTCATTGTGTACAATTTTTGATATAAATTCAACAAGAGCAACACAAAAAGATTCCGGTTCACTGATTTCAAAATCAGGCTGATCATTATAGACTCTTAAATAAACATTCCCAATAAGCGTCTCTTTCGACAAAGCTTCATATAAGAAGCCATGTGAATCCTTCAATGTACAAGAACCATCAGGTACTAATGTCGCACGCTTCTGGTCTACAAATTTCAATAACTCCGCTCGTGTTGAAGAGTTCCAAATAATCTGCACACAATACAAACACCATCAATAAAAAAGATAGATCAAAGTACAAATTGAAATATAACCTTAAGTAATATATTTACCTCTGGCAACTCCAAATTAGAGTTTAATTTTATCAAAAGGTCTTTCGGTAGCTCTTCTTTCAACATGCTGGCGAGTTTAGGAGTCAACAGAGATTTAAGAGCATCAGCTGCTTCCTTATTATAAGGTGTTGGGCTTTCAACAGCCATGCCACTAATCCTAGACAAGGCGTTTGCAGCACGTATCGCGTGTAAATTTTTAGCAGTTTGAACGCTAACACCAACTCCATGTGCCTCTGTGGTGGTATCATGTTCTTCAGCTGTTGAGTCGTATTCAAGGAGCAACGGTAACAAATACCATAATACCCCTGCTTTCAACAAAGCATTTTGTAACTCGGATGACACGCAGAGATGAGCGATAGTTTGAAGGGCTGCATCAACAGCTGATGGGATTAGCTCGAGTTCAGTACAGTGGACAATGTCTTCAACTAACCCGGTTAACTCAAGGACCTCGGTTCGAGCACTTTCAAACTGACTCAGGCTAGAAAAGGTTTGCATCACATTTGTCACTATGATGGCAGATGGTTCGTTTCCTGGTGTGGTGGGTTGAACCACTAACATGCAGCGTGCGAGAAGTTTTGCAAGAAGCTGTATGCCTCCATCTCTTACAAGCTCTTCCCCATTTAATGATGAAGATACACACCTGCAATCATAGATGATGATGCATAAACACAAAATCTTCATAAATAAAAAACTAAAAAAAAAAAAAAAGATTTTAGGATGCTTTACGTGAGCCATGTGAGCTCTGAGGCTGCGACAAGTAAAGGGGAACGTTCTGGGGATAGGAAATTTGTGTCATCGTCATCGACTGTTACAGCGTTTAATAGCATTGGGTATCCAGCGTATTTAAATGGTTCAAGAACATCTCCATATCGTCTATATAAAATGCATTGTCCTTTCAGTAAAAGCAACAATCTCCATGGTTGTGGCCCTTGTAAACCTTGCATTGTGGCCTATGAAGAAAAGAAGAATCATTATGTTTTCAGAAATATGTATAATTCCATAAAGACAAGGAGCATAAAGTTCCGGGCTAAAGCAAGAAATAGCCATGTACTTTCATTCATTTGTCATTTGTGTGTTACAGGCTTACAGCATCCTACTTTCGTTTCTTTCTATTACAGCATGTACTTCCAAATTATTTTCTTGTTAAGTTGCAAAAAACATGTGCCCATTAATAGCATTTTACTTGATATTGATAATTCCCATAAAAACAAGGTGCTTGGAGTTCTTTCTTTATTTGTGTATAACAGCATCCTACCATCATTCTTTCTATTACAGCATTGTACATCGAATGTTTTCATTATTAACGCATTATAATGCGTTAATAGCAATGTACTTCCATTTTTTATTATTAAAACATTGGACTTTGAAAAATATACCATAATAGCATTGTACTTTACTTTTTTTCTTATTAAGACATTATACATTAAATAATAGCATTCTACTTCCATTTTTTTCTTATAAATAACTATACCTTAGAAAATCTACCCTATGATGATAACATTGTACTTCCAAATTTTTTCTTATTAAGACATTTTATTTTGAGAAATCTACCCTATAAGAGCATTGCACTTACAATTTTTCTTATTAAGAAAATACAATTTGAAAAATCTACCCAATTGAAGCAATAAAAAATGCTTTGCATTTCAATGACACTGCCACATTACTATAATTTGGCAGATTTTTCAATGTATAATGCTGTAACCGGAAGAAATTAAAGTCGGATGCAATAATGAACAAAGCAACGAAAGTACACTGCTACTTCTTACGTTTAACCTTAAAGTTTCTAGTAAGTTTATGAAACAAATGTTATAAAATTCACCTGTAGGCGCTCATATGCTTTCTGCACAGCAAGAAACTTCTCTCTCCCTTGAGGGTTTTTATCCGGATGATACTTCATTGCAAGCTTTCTATACTGTCTCTTCAACTTTTCTTCATCAATGTTCTCAATTCGCTTCGATAAGCTAGAACTATCCTCCAAATTCCCATTAGAGTAACTTTTATCAGATTCATCTCTAGTCACCTCACTCAAAGAAATCTCCAATATCTTACAAGCTTCTTCTTCAGATAAATCCATAGGTTTCCTAGTCAACTCCTCCCGCCACATCACAAGCAACGACTGTAAAAACTCAACATGCTCAACAATCGGCCAATTAGGAAACAGAATCTCATCACATAAGTTCCGAAGGTAATAACGGTGACACCACATCTCATCTCGAAGCTCCGGATACGTGACAGGTGGCATAGGAGCATAGTCATATAAACAATGACAATGTTGCGATAACTTCTGTGGGAAATCGCCTAAATGCTGCAAAACTTGATGGATGAGATTGTCTGCTCGCATTTTGTGTGTCCATATGATTTCAGGAGTGTCAGAATCAGACACCATTGCTGCAGCAAATGCAGTTGGACCACTTCGCTCAAGAACATACAGTAAAGACTCGGGTAAAAGCCCTCCGAGCACACTTCGTTTTGCCAAGGGTAGAGAAGAAGAAACTGCCGCCTCTTCACCACCATGAAAAGCTTGGTGGACATGGGTGGTGGAGAAAAGTTGAGCAATTGTAAGGAGATTTGACCCCGGGTATGCTAAAGCAAAATAAAACACACCAGTACTGTATAGTCTTATCATTGCTTTCGGATTTCTTGTAACAACAGCTTTTATCAAAGCAGCTGAAACCTCCACAATAGCCGGCTCCCCAGAAAGCATGGCCTACATTCATATCACATATGTAAATAAAACAACAGCAGCAAGAGTTGACAATTGTTATAATATTCAAGAAAGTACCTGTGCAATGTGGGGAAGACATCGTGGGCTTGATAAGATTCGTTTAACTCTAGGTGTTGGGGTAACAATCTCTCCAGCATCATCTATATCTGAATGTGAAGATACCATACTGTGTAATATAGACAATGCTGACTCGCCTACTTGAGGAGGAGTGAGGACCGGGACCCGCACAGCCAGTGCCCAACGAAGTTCACGAATATCACGTAATCTTTTCCAGTCTGCCATTCCAGAAGACCAGCATTTTGTAGTCCAGTCAATATCTTTCTTTGACCAAAACCTTCTAATAGCATCTTTCTCAACCGGGCCCGCCTGTGCACCATCTTTATCAATATACAACCATTCCTTCAAGGGTTCCATGAAAGCAGAAGCAGCTATCAGATTCGATTGCAAAGGAATAACAGTTCTTTCAGAGACTTCATGAACTGTAGTCAACAAATCAACAGCCAAAACACACCCACCAACAAGCACACAAGCCTCCACATTCGATAAAACCTTCATTAAAACCTTAAGAAGAAGCAGCAATCGGTGCCTCAATGCTCTATCATCAGTTCTATCCAAAAGAACTGTCATATGTGCTGTACCTTCAAACGACCCGATTGTGACATAATGCTGCTCATAAACAATCGCCATTGCTCTAGCACAAAGCTCCCTAACCGAAAACCCACCACCACCACCAAAACCATCTAATCTCCCCATGTCACACCAGTCATCAGAAGCTCCCATTTCATCAGGAACAGCTCCATCAACAGTAAGTCCAGTGTCAGCATCGCATAAGAACCGGTGATACAGTGCTCGAAAAAACGCAACCGGGTCCCGCAAAGGAAACTTTTCAGCTCTTGCATTGGTCCCACTTTCAAGTAGCAACCGTAAATAATACTGACCTACACATACTTCTTTTGACAGACTAGGGTACCTAACAGAAAACTCGGTGTAATTCCAAGATATTTGAGGTTGACCATCTTGCCCTCCGTTTGTCTCCGAGGGTGCACTGGATACAGATACAGATACAACCCCAGGAACAATATCTTCGGTTCGCTCTTTTTCAACATCAAGTTTATGAACCTCTGCTTGTAAAGCCGAACGTAATTCTTGCCGGGTCCGCTCGTTCCAAATCAAGTCGGCCCGGTTATGATCCAGACTAAAAGCCCGCCAAAATTCCAACCAGTTCAACAACAATCTCCCTGATCCAACCGGTGTATTCTCAATCACAATCTGAGCTGGCGCAATTAAATCCAAGTTCTGGACCCCACTCGCGTTCTCCACATCAACCGAATTAGTTGCAACCGATTCAAGGAATGAAGTATCAGAAACCGATTGTACATCAGGAGAACCAATCACTGTTGACTGGTCAACCGAGGGGATTTCACTTGACAAGTTTTCACCTGTGAAAACAGTGGAAGAAGGCTGAATGGAAGGCACACCTGTAGAGGGTAATTCACTGTTTCTAGGTGAATTTACACCTTTTACTGTGTGATTCCTTCTTTGTTGAAGTAACCGTCTCCTTCTACTGCTCATAACCGAGCCTTCCGGATAATCTTCTTCAGGTGCATCACCTTCTGAACGCGTGTGTAAATACGCAACAAGGCCAGGTGGCAATACTCTAGAAAGCAAATCAAGAGCAGGTTGATAAGAATCCGCCCAAAGTGCCACAAGTTGTCGACTCACTTCTCTTCTTTCACCAACAGGAAGAAAAAGACCACTTAACAAATGTCTTAATAAAGCTCCATCGCGTAAAGCAGCATCCCTCATAGACTCAGCTGCAATCGCGTCTTCTTCCGCGATTGTCCGCATGATCACCGCCACTGTCTCCCGTACACTCTCGGCCGGGTGTCCAAACAACGCAAACAACCGCCGCCTCAGCCCCGCCACCTGGCGTAACAACTCAACAAACACACTGTACTGTGTGGTTTCACCGTGTGGTTCGCAAATCATCGCCTCCAAAACCTCAACAATCGACATCGATAGTAATGGAGAAACCGACATTGACTTCAACCGGTTGACCAAAATTACTAAATTACCCTGGTGAGCGAATAAAACCGATTTCGTGTGCATGATTGTTGCATGTTGGTCGCCTTTCGAGTCGGTTAACAAGTTGTTATCCCCGGGCCCACCGCCGATGAGCACCGCGATAAGCTCGGAAGCTTCCGCTGCTACGCCTTCGGACCCGTTTCTTAACAAACCCATGATTCTTCCAACAGCTGCGGGAAATGACATGACGTGTGACGTGGCGGTTCTGGAAGCCATTAATCTTCTTAAACACGCGATAAAGCCTGTGACAGTTGCAGCTGCTTTAGGTGAAGGTGGTGGGAGAGGTGGACTCTCTGGGGGTAAATTTGGAGCAGCAGGGAGCATTGTGATTAAAGCCATTAATGTAACTTCAGGGACTTCGATATTTGGAGGGACTCCAATGTATGAAATACACGCGTTGAATTCGCGTATTCTTCGCCAGAGTTTAGCTCGTGATCCCGGGATCGAACCGCTTTCGGCCACCGCGTCTTTGGCGGCTGCCGCCAGGTGTTTTAAATGCATGGTGGCGGTTTCCATGTCAGCTCGTGAACGTTGGGATACTTGTGGAAACTGTAAGTGAGCTCTGCCACATGGCGGATCGATTGGATGACCTGGCATTGTTAGTCTAGGTAGTACAGGGATTGAACACTGACCCTGTACAATTTACAATGCATATTTAGAAAATTATTTCATTTTAAGTTTATTACAATTTCAAATTACATACCTCTGTTTGTATCATATCACGTACTGCTGCAAGTAAACCATCTCTAGATGTGCTAGAATATACCTGAAAACAGAAACTTTGGTCATAAAAAGTCAACTTACAAAACATAGTACAATCTTTAAGTGAAAAATCTCACATGCACTGGACACCCATCATTGAACTCAATTGCAAACATTTGGGGCTCTTCAGCAAAACGAACAAGAGAACTCACTGAAGATAAAGGACGCACAATAACAGCCTGAAAAGTTGAAAGTGTAAAGATAAGTAAAGATTAGAAGATTAATCTTTGAAAAGAATTTAAGTATAACAAAAGATGACATCAGATTACCTCATAATTCTCAGGGCGCCTTTCCACAAGTGAAACTTTTGTTAGGATAAGTTGGCGGGAAACAGCATCACCTTGTTCCCCAAGTCCACCTTTCGGTCCAACTATCAAACCCAATCCCGGTGCGCCAAGTGTCCCATGAGCAGCAGTTCGCAGTCTCATTACAGACCAACCACCACAAGGAGTTTCTTCAGCTCCTACACCGTCTTTAGCTGGATTTTACACATATCATTAGAATGACCATTTTACCCTTCCATTCCAGCAAACAACTTTCACAATATACATCAAATTTAACATGAGAGGAGTCAGGGTTTTTGGCTTAACCCAATAAGTCATTATGTCTAGATTTAGTCAAGAAGAAGCAACAAGGTATAGCTCTTCAGATTAAGTGCTTAACCCATAAAGCTCTTTAAGTGGAGAAGAAACAACCCTTAAATGTATGTACATATACTCAAACACTCAATACCATACTTACCCCTTCGTTGTAGATACTCGCTAACTGTGAGTGATTGAGAGCTGTCAACAGACAGTGATACTCCAACTGTTGACTTTGCAGTTTTTGTCTGATTAAAAACATTAAAGGATGTCAACTATATGCAAAGTGTTAAACACTAAAGAAGTAAAGAGATATAAAGTATAAAGGATGTAATGCACTTCAAGATAGTGTTGTAGAGATGATCTTGAAATATAGAGGTGTGTGCTTACCAAATTTGCTACGATGGTAGAATTTGAAATCCCTGAGGCAGCTTGAAAAGCTTTAGATTTTCTTCCATAAAGAGCACAGAGAACAAAACCTCCAGGTTCAGCATTTTTCCTCCCGTATGCATCAGAAAGAAGAATAATAGCAGGGGAATCCATGTCTCTAAAATCCAAACACCATCTCAGATCCCCAGATTTTTGTTCAGTAAGTTCAACTCCAACATATGTAACTTTCAGTTTCTATTGACACATGTAAAATACTAGTCATTATGCAGAAAGACTTTGAGATAACGCAACAACAACAAGAAGAAGAAGAAGAAGCGGTTTATCTCAATTAATTGAACACATGCAAATGAATATAACCATTGGAAAGTGTATCAAAAATATAGTGTAGAACTTACGAAAGCGGCCCATTCAGCAGTCTTTCTTCGAAGATGGAGTACTGGAAACTCTGCAACAGTGCCGATTCTATTCCACCTTATTCTATGCAACTCAGTCAATATACTTGCTCTGTACCTGGAAGAAAACTTTGTTCCCTTGAACTTCCCACGTCCATCAGTTCTTACATTGACATTGAACTCCAATGTATTCTCATCCTTCCCGATGACAGGAGAAGCACCTTCATAATCCTTGCTCACGTCGTAAGAATTGGTCACTGATAATGTCGTAGGATCTAGAGTTGTTATAGTGTAATTTGATATACACAGTATCCTCTTGTAACGACCCCGCCATGAGTGTTTGACAACAAGGTACCGGGCTAAGTACTCAGGCTCTTCGATGGAAGATGGTTGTGGTGGTGGAGGCCGGGAAGGTGAGGTCGGTGAGCTTGTTGACGCTTCCGGTGGCGGATGAGAGGTGTGATCGGATGTGTGTCGGAAAACAAAGTCCATTTGTGGGAGATATTGAAGGGAATATGGTCGAGGAGGACTAGGTCTAAAAAATGACCATAATCCCGTACCGGCACCAGCCGGCCTTGCCGACGGTCTTTGACGGGACTGATTCGCACCCAGTTCTTCTGAAAGGTCCCCGGAGAGGGGGCAATCAGTGACTTAACCCCTACGAATCAAAATCTAAACACTCGTACAGATTATCTCCAAGAATTCCATTGTAAATAGATGACAAAGTGCTTTAACTTCTTTAACTACAACTCAACCCTAGAAAATCTACGATGATAAGATCAAAACCCTATAATACTATCAATTGTTGAAGCGATCAATCACAATCCTGTTCAAGCAGTTCAAAGTAACTCAATCAAAAACAAAACCCTCTGATTTTCCAGAAAAACTGTCAAAATCTTCCTTCGTTTAACGATATTTCAACGCCAGAATAAGCAAACAAATTCAAGACTCTAGTAATTGCTCACTTGATAAGACTGAGTCCCTTGATGAATAAGACGGAATTATAAGAACAATCTGAAGAAAGCGGAGGTAGCCAGATGGAATTCCGTTTTTATGATCGATGGGAATTCATCGAAGATGTAGTGGAAAGAAAGCTATAATTCCTGAATTGTGATAGTGATGAATGATTAGGGTACGGGAAAATTGTTGATCGGAAAAAGGGAGAGAAAGAGAGATGAGAGAGAAATGGGAGGTGCAAACGACGATTTCCTGCTGCTGGTCGATTGACAGTCATACCGCGAGTATTCATTCTCTTGCCTGTGACAGCTATTTTCAAAGTAACTTTTGTCATGTTCAATGAAGTAACGTATTTTTTTTACTTTTTGTTCATGTTTATCTTACTATATTATTATACAAATCTTATTATTTCTAAAAATAGATTTAAGACGTCCAAAACTTTTAGTTGAATGTACAATAAATCAATGCATATCTTTATTTCTCTAATTCATCTGTTTCCCTAATTATCTATTTTCTTCTCTTTGACTCCTTAATCGACTTGGTGAACGGTGATTGACCAATTTTAAGCACAAATCAAGGAAGTATAGTTACATTTATTTTGAATTCCAAAATTCTCGTCTCTTAAATGATGAACACCACACACACTCTCTTTCATCTTTTCTCTCAAAAGTCGAACGCTCCGCCCTCCTTGATCTCCATGATCAGTTAACAACCACCACCATATCATCTTCCTCCTAATGATGACATTGTCACCCAAGATATGTACCTTTGTTTCCCTTAGATCTCTAGCAATTCGATTTTCCCCATCACCCCATCATTCTCGTTTTGAATTTGAAAGCCAAATACGTTCCTCTTCATTCTTCTACCCTCTCTCATTCACTCTGACGATCTTCGTCTTCATCCAATTGAATCCGTTAATCCCACATTCAGTGGAGACTCGTTCAAATTGGAAGAACTTTCGTTCTCTGTTTCTCCTCTCACGTTCTCACATCATTACCGCCTAACCGCTCAGAACCCTTGAAATCATCTCCTGCATCATCCAACATCTGAACTTCGGGCACATATCTCTCTCTCTCTCTCATAAAAACCCTAAGCGACCACCGTCCGCTGGAAATAATGACACGATCTGCTGAAAACGAAGACACCCGCCCATCAGGTTCTATAACTCATTATATGTCTTCTTCATCTGTTGCTAACCTTCTATTTGGATTTTTAGATCTGAGTAATATAGCTTCGGATGTTATTTTTATAATTGGCTCCATAACTTTGATTGTGGATATGATTTTTATATCCAGGTTCAAAAGTTTAAATTTATTTTTTAGAGCTGGTTTTTTGTTTCTAGGTGGTTTTGATTTGGTGTCCATTTTTCATTTTGTTGCTTTAATATACAAATTGATGAACAAGTTGAGTATTTTAAGTTGAGCACAGCATATGATTTGGAGGAAGAATCTTCGATTTGAGGGTGGATGTTTCATTTTGTTTCTTCAAAAAAAATTCCACTTTCCTAAAGAGTCTTTTTATGTTTTGGCAACTATTGGAACTCTCTCTCTCTCTCATTGTGTGTATGTGTACAGATAACCCCCTGTCACTACGTTCTTAGTCTAATAATGTTATATGTTCATGGGGAATTCGACAGGTGGAGCTATGGTTTTATAGGTAAAGCTGTGTGGAAGTGATGTTTGGTTTTATGAAGGGTAAATTTGTCATTTTTTGTTGGCTATCCTTACATTGAAAAACTGTTGAAGGTAATTGTACTACTTTAATTATAATGTTTTTCTTACCATTTATCCTTGGATTTCCATCTGTTTGTTGAAGGATGAACATTGTCTCCCATGGTACACAAGCTAATGTATGGTAACACAACACACAACATATGAGAAAAGCAATTTCAGTAAACAACTAACCAATTCAGGCCATATGTCAAAGAATTGAATGTTGATCTACTAAAGCTTGTTTCAACTTTCATATTCACATATTCATATTTGTCCATGAAGTAGCTATTATAGAAAATTTTGATCATTTAGTCTAAAGAAAATTTTGATAAAGTTGTTCTAATGTTAACTTGGTAAGGTACTCTTCTTTCTTTATTTTTTTATTGCTTATGAACATAATGTACATTTTCTTTAAAACATTCAATTGTAACACATGTTTTTGTTTCTTTTCTATTTTTTTGAATAGGTTGATGATACACCTGAGTACCTGACAAGCATAAGAAGATATATTTTGGGCAACAAGTGATGATAAAGAGGTAGTTCTAAGTGATTACAGATTTTACAACTTCAGTGCTTGATTACTTAATGCCAATGTTTATGACTTATTTACTAAATCTGATTTAAAATGTCAATTATGGAAATTGGAAAATAGATATGATACTATGGAAGAAAAAACTGTACACATTCTGCATTCCTTCTTAGAAGAGTTTAAGCACATTGGATCTCAACTCCTACACTGTCTCGCACCCTCAGAAAGTCCAGCCACCATGGTTGAAAGTCAAATGAACCTGAACACACTCTTTTATGATCGTCTAATTGATCACATTACAATTTCTAAGTTTAAAAGCAAATTGGGTGGTGAGGTTAACTGAACTATGGTTTGCAATTTGCAAATTAATAGAAAAAGGACCAAAGAAGGGTTACCTGAAATATCAAACATTTGTAAGTTAGGTAACAACCCAGTTATAAATCTATTTTATTAAAAAATCATTTTATTAATACTTTTAAATATTGCTACAGGAAAGCATGTGATTCATTCTGATATCACGAAGAAAAAAATTGATGAAAACAGAAAACAAACAGACTTTAATGTTGTGGTAGATACAAATGAAACACATGACAAGACCAATCATTCCGAAAATCAAGCAGGTGAGCATAGTATAAAAGTATGATTCTATTATCAATTCTTATAATGACGTCACTTGTTGGACAAGTATTATTGTGAGACCTTCTTTACTTCATTTCATGTTAGTTTCTATTGGCCTCTTTAGTGCTGGTGCTTTTAGTATGATGATTCAAAGATGTTATGTTAGTTCATATTTGTTCTCTATTTTGTAAACCATTTTAGTATTTTAGTATTTCTCCAGCTTCCCGTTGGTCCGCTTTTCTTTTAACAAATTTTGTTGTAAAAAACAAAGGTATGTTAATTATCTGATGTACAACAAATAAAATGCCACTAAATCACTAGTTGTATTGCCCACGCTAAACAACGCAATATATAAATGCATCCAAGATAATAATACAACCCATAAATGACTTACATCCCAAACTTTTCGCATAATCCAAAATTGATACCACTTTTTCTTCAAACTTGCTTCAAGCGTCATTTCACAAACGCCAATCAAGCTAATCTAATTTCCAATTTCTAATGTGTATTTTCTCACTACCTTCCCACCGATAAAAGAAACATTTTGTACAGCACCCAGAAGCACATTTAATTATTACAAAATTATTCATAGCTTTCCAATACCATTTTATTTCCTTCCAATACCGAGAATTATTTTTTATGCACTTTGTACAACTCAAACTTCTCATCTTTATTTGTAAGAAAAGGTTACATCCAAACTTCTTTTTGTGCCAAACCACCTTCGAAAACCACACTAGCCCCCTGCATTTTCGAATTTTAGCTCTCAATTTTCATTTTTCCGTTTTCCCACTTCTTACACACCCTCTAAATTTGGAATATAATTCCTGCATAACTAGCCCTTCATTTTTATTTACTTTTATTATATATTTAACCCCAAATACCTTCGGTCGGGCTTAAACATTCTGCATATGCAACCTTGGGACAAGTATTTTAGGATCGAGCGTTGACAAACCGATAAAGGGAATGAATGGAATGGTTAAATGAGTCAATCTCATAATGATAAACAGTTTATATTATTGTTACATAAATTACATGCAAAATAATAGTTGACTTTTCAAAAAAAAATATGGTCAAGGAACAAATTTGGGGAAAAATATGATATGCTATAGAAGAACGAAATGTAAAAAAGAAATTAGTTGAAGAAAGAAAATTAATTAATGCTTGGAAAATATTTTCCGAAATAAAACTAATTTCCACCCGTTCTTAAAAACCCTAAATACTTTATAATGACGTTGCAATTCGGGATAACGAACAACATACCAAAACAATGTGTTTGACCATTGTGGGATGCAATAGAATTTCGATACATTGCATGTTCTTTGGAAGATGACATGTTTCCGTATAGAAACTAATCGTTTAAACGAATATAACCGCAAAAATAAACTATTTGACGAAAAGAAACAATTTGTTGCTGCAAAACCGACTGATAACAATATGTATCTGTTTTGTGTTCCATAAAATATAATATCTTTCCCCGAATAGAACTAATTGCCGAATGAAAGTAATCGTCATTGTTGCTTCGCGCGGGTAGTCAAGTAAAATGTTCGACTGGAAAGGGCATAAAAGAAGATGCAATACCCTTTACTTACACAACTTCCAGGTATATTGTAATGTTTAACATTTGTTTCAAAGAGAGTTTGGTATCATTTAAAAATAGATCACTCAAAACAACATGTCGAAAGTAAACTAATCTTCGTCTCAATACTACTTGTCGAAAGAAACTATTTATCACAGATGCATTGCACGGATACACTACTAGATAGGAACCATATTGGCGTTCCCTATAAACTATAAGCCTTGATAGTGGAATTGAAAATTCATAAACAAATGTCTCAACTCAGTAATAGCATACCCTCATAATTAATTTCCGAAACAAAATATTCATCGTCCGCTGCTTTGTGCGGGTAACGACTAGTATTTACTTATGTAGATGTAGATTTTTAAAATATAACAATCTAAAAAGAAGCAAATAAAAGTTACAAATGGTTGTTTTAGAAATAAATGAAAATGAAATCAATGTTGTTAAAAGTTTCAATTTTGATCTTAAGATTTTATATACATGAAAAACAATCTTCAGTCCAATTACAATCTCTCGTACAAAGTAATAGTATGCAACATAACGGTTTTACGATCTCACATCGGTTGAAAGTAAAATAAGTTGGTGGCTTATAAATGTAAGTGTCATTTCCTCTTACGAGATAGCTTTTGGGAGTAAGTTCTACACTTGAGCTTATGGCATGACTCGGAGTGGTGGCTTGGACCCGAAAAGAGGGTGTCAACCATGACCTACATCATTGTGACCAACGAGTAGGGGTGTTGATCGGGTATAGATCTTGGGTTTCGGGTAGTTCGGGCTTTTAAAATAAATAAGAATAACCGATACCTGACCTATAT